TAAGTCAGCTTTTAACATTCGCTAAATGCTAAAGGGGGAGTGAGATCATTCTATCTTTCCAGAGAAGGGATGTGTAAATTATTCATTTTACTGAAGCCAAGGAATTATATAGTTAACAACTTTTTTTTATCTTCTTATACAGTTAAAGTGTTTTGATGGGATCTTTTTAACTAATTATAACAAATTGACTTTTTTATATTTTCAAAAAACTTAACTTCATCTTGAGCTTATAAATTCGTGTACCAGAAATGGATTTGATTCACCATGTCAAAGTTCAGTTGCAGTTCATAACTAATGGATCAAACATTCAAACTGGAGTAGTTTTTATTATAATTTCATTGTGAGAGTGAATATATTTGCTTCTCCATTATGGATGGCTCTATCTATCTCTCTCGCATTACATGGGAAAATCTCCATCATCAAGACCATGTCGTTTCATTTGCAATTTTTTCTTCTTTGGGCGAAACAGAAGATCAGATTTATCTTAGGGATAATTTGCTATCTAACCAAATTTTGAAGTGAATTGAAGTATGTGACATTGATTTTAACATTATTAACAAACTAACATTTAATCCACCTTTGATCCGGTTATACCCTCATTGATAACAAGTATCCAGTCACGAAGAGATAAAACAGACGAGGATGGTGCTTTGTTTGTTATGGAATAATTGAGTCACTACTAGTTCTTCAAATTATGTAATGAAACCACGTAATACACTTATTTACCACAAACATATTTATTGCAAATAGAATGAGGAAAAATTATAAAATCTACAAGTACATGAATGACTAATAAAATATCTAGTACTAACATTACATATTCTATATACGAAAGAGAATAGTCTGCTATATTGAACATGATTCAATCTGTTTTTCCATTTATATATCCTATTTAGAACCTCTAAATACTGATCCCAACCCCTAATTTTTAAATACTAAACCCTAAATTCTAATCAATAAACCCAAACCCAAATATAAATCATATTATATATTTTTAACATTTTGAATAAAATTAAAATATGAGAATAGTATTTTATATATTGTAATATTAAACTATACCATATAAAATAAAAATAGAATAGACTTATGAAATCTACACTGAATAAAAGATTAATAGCGGAAGATTTCAAAATTAGTGCTATCATAAGATATTAGGATTGATGGCATTGAAGGAGATGACGTTTGACGGACCATAGTTTTAGAAAAAGAGGAGGATGAGATAACATCATATAAGTACTATTCTATTCAACATAACGTTGTATTCTATTTTAGTTGTATTCTATTTTATTTGATGTAATAATAAATTATATTATATTTACAATGAACTATACTATTTCTTTTTACAAAATCATATACACACCAATATAAAACAAATATACATACCAATACAGAACTCATATAAATGAAACATGAAACAACAACCAACACATAAAATTTACAAATTATAGTTACAACAAGATTGAACCCTCTTAAAAAAATACTACATGTTCCATTTCATAGAAATAGTATAGAAATGCATCACATGTCTATCCCCTTCCCAGTCTTCGCTTTCCTCAACTATGTTTTCCTCTTCACTGTACTTGTTTTGCAATATTGCATCACCTTGTCTTATGTATTAGCAAAAACGATTTTGAGATGCAAAAACAAAGGCAGTTGCAGAGAATCTATGAATAGGAAAGCAACTAACCTCCGTGAAGTCCTTGGAATCGAATCAAAAATCACAACTTCAACTTTCCTTCAGATATTTTGTTGTCTTCTTTGCCAAAATTGATGTCGGAATTTCAGAATCTTCCCTGGTCACTCACGCATAAGTCTTTGGAAGCTCTCTTCTTCACCACAAGTCTTCACCGTAAACATAAACAGTTCGGTTGAGAAGATTTTAGAACACTATTAAAAGTTATCCTTAGAATTATATGTGAACAATAGGTGTCCACGATTCGTTTTAGAAATGACAACATAATTTGTTATAAATTATTTTCTCAACCGGTTGCTTTAGGTGCAGACAAGGGTATAGATGTATTATTATATAAAATACACTTTGTATTCTAGATATTTAGGGTTATTAGTCAGTCAGTGAGTTATTAATTTTTTTTATGTTATAGGGTGCAATTTCCCTTTATCTTATGGCTTGATGATTTTTCTCCCTATATGCAAATCATATTGGAATCTGCTCAACTTAAGTCTTCTATTTGTCTTCATAAACTTCAAATCACGTGCTTATCTACTAATAATAGCAATCCTCATTAATTCCAAATGTTGTGAATCCTCATTAATTTGAAAGGTTATATCTTTATTTAAATTTTTAAAATTTATTTTGAAACAATGTGTCCATTCAAAAATAATAACAATTTTCATTAATTCCAAAGGTTGTGAATCCTCATTAATTTGAAAAGTTGTATCTTTATTTTAATTTTTGAAAAAATGTGTCCATTCAAAAATTAGTTAAAAGTAATTTTGAAACAATATATCTTTTCAAAAGTTAGTTATAAAATATTGTAAAAGATGTTTTTTTTTTAAATATGGTTGAGAGGTTGTAACTTATATATGTTTAAAATATATATATATATGTTTTGAAATAATGCCTCTTTCAATGTGGCCATTCAAAAATTAGTTAAAATTATTATTGAAACAATGTATCTTTTCATAAGTTAGTTAAAAAATATTGTAAAAGTGTTTTTTTTTAAATATTGTTGAAAGGTTGTAAGTAATATGTGTTTAAAATATATATATGTTTTGAAAAATGCATATTTTCAAAAGTTAGTTATTAAATATTGTAAATGTTTTTTTTAGAATAATAATAGCAATCCTCATTAATTCCAAAGGTTGTGAATCCTCATTAATTTGAAAGGTAGTATCTTTATTTAAATTTTTAAAATTTATTTTAAAACAATGTGTCCATTCAAAAACAATAACAATTTTCATTAATTCCAAAGGTTGTGAATCCTCATTAATTTGAAAGGTTGTATCTTTATTTTCATTTTTGAAACACCATTCAAAAATGAGTTAAAAGTAATATTGAAACAATGTATCTTTTCAAAAGTTAGTTATAAAATATTGTAAAAGAGGTTTTTTAAATATGGTCGAGAGGTTGTAACTTATATATGTTTAAAATATATATATGATTTGAAATAATGCCTCTTTCAATGTGGCCATTCAAAAATTAGTTAAAAATATTATTGAAACAATGTATCTTTTCATAAGTTGGTTAAAAAATATTGTAAAAGTGTTTTTTTTTTAATACTGTTGAAAGGTTGTAAGTAATATGTGTTTTAAATATATATATGTTTGAAACAATGCATCTTTTCAAAAGTTAGTTATTAAATATTGTAAATTGTTTTTTTAGAATATAATTTAGTCAAAGAATATATCTGTTGAATCTTAACTTTGAATTATCATTAAGTTGAAAGGTTGAATATAACAATTCTGACTAATTCCAAATGTTGTGAATCTCCATTAAACTAAAGGGTTGTGTTTCATTTTTAATATTGAAATTTGTTTCAAAACAATGTATCTAGTCAAAAGTTTAATTTGAAAAAAGAAGTATATTCAAAATATATAATTTTTTTCTGAAAAGATGTATCTATAGAAAGTTGTGACTACTCAGTTAAAATAACTAATTATAATTTGAAAAGTTGTAACTTTTCAATGAGTTCTTTGAATATCTATATATATTCTATGTCTACAATTTTCAGAAACTAAAATATTCACTAATCTAACTAAATGGTGAAGAATAAAAATTCTGTATAATATCAAACCTATTTTTTGTCTCCGTTGATATCAGCTGTTGTTTATCTAATAGTCCTCCAATTATTGTTTAAATGTCTTTTTTTTGTAGCAATTCATCCTTGAAGAGTTTCTTTGTCAAACAACCCATACTTTTTAGAATAGTCTTCATTGTACCTTTTGAAAGTGTTATATATTGAACTTTTTACAGCAAATTTAATTTTAGAAAGTATTCCTTTAGTAATCTTCGTGTATCTCATTTTCTATTTATTAGTCCTTAATAAGGTGTGTTTTTGGTATCTCTTATAATTTTTATAATCGAAGTTTAATTTAGGCACTGTTAATATATAGTAGCGTAACGGTTGCAAACGTAAACGCCATTCTTCTTCACGTCCGTCGAAGTCTCAGCCCCTTTATTGATTCGTTGTGCATTGTTATCAATGTTGTGATATTTTCACTGGGTTTTGATATCTTTGAGAAGATGAGAAAGTCTGAAGAAGTGATTTATGGAAGACCTTACACGTCTCTATATATCGGATCCATTACGAAGGCTTCAATCGCACGGTTGCATCCTCTGGCAGTGGTTCCTCCTTTAACCGCATTAAAGCCGAGTGATGAAGATAGGGAAGGAGAGAGTGATGATCACAATAGTTTAGCATTGGCAACTTGCGATTGTGCATTGTTATTGACTTGTTGATAACGTATTCTCATTACCGTCGAAGTCACAGTCCTTTTTTGACTTGTTAATCTCTTCTCACTTCCGTCGAATTCACAATGGGTCACATTTTCTATTGTCGTGTAACGTTTTCTCGTTGGGAAATATGGCGCCTTTGGGTTGCGTGTAACTCTTTTGGAGATGATGATAGATGAATAGCGGGAAGGAGGAAGAGTCCTGATCACAATAGGTTAACATCAGAATGACTTTTTCATGAAACATCAGAATGACTTACGACCGTTGACGATTTAATAGTGGTGGATGGATATATACATAAAGATATGCGACCAACCCTAATGATTTAACGTGGGTCAATGGGTTTTCGAAGGTGTGTGTCGTTTCATAAAAAACGGAGAATAGTTTTGTTTCTCCTATATGCAACTATTGGATGTGACTTTTCATATGTTGAAAGTATATATCTTTTTATAAAAATCTGAGATTAATTTTATATTTCCAACATACAACTATTGGATGTGTCTTTTCATTGTACATTTTTATTAGTTTTAAAAATATATCTTTTAAATGTATTTTTCTCACAGTGATATATCTTTTCATCAAAATCATGAATCGTTTGTATAATGAATCACAAGGTTTGGTTCTGAGTGTTTACATCCTGCAGTATGCGGTGTGGTTTTTGGCCGACATGTTATCTGGGGTCGACTTTTTTCTTCACTTTCGTGTTGAATGGTCTGAGAGGTTGGTAGCTCCTTCTCCGATCTGCCCTCCGGAACCTCCAGACCCTCCAGACGTTGTCACCTCCTCCATACCATCTCCTCAAGATTTTCTCCAGATTTCAACTCTAAAGCTTCCATGTAAGATAGCTACTAAGAGTGCAGGTGGTGGTGGTGCTCCCGTGTCTGCAAGTGACACTTTCTTAGCCTATGAGCTTTTATCTCCTGTGGTATACAGGTTTCTATTTGGATGTATCGACTCGCCTTTATTCAGGTCTTGTTTCGACCTTCCTATCACTCCTCCTTGTAAGGTCCTTCATGTACATCTTAGCTCCTTCTTTTCCATTTATTATGCTACTGTAGAATGGTTTAGACAGCTATTTGTGTGGATGACATTGGAATTGGGGTTCATGACTTTAGCCGGTGATATACCGATGGTTTCAGTTTCATTTGGTTCTACTTTTGCGACTTCTAGTAGTATTTTTATCGCCTTGACGCGATTGTCTGCTGTATGCAGCTCTCTTACGAGTTCTATTCTGGGTGTTGGTGTTATGGTCGTGTATCTCTTTTCTTGGTGGCAGGTAGAAGAGAAACTCATCTTCATCTTTAGTCCGATGAATATGGATGTGACGGGTTATGATTTCCCGTTTGTCCCTCGTTTGAATCAGTCTTCTTTCCTAATATTTCCTCTTATATGGAGTGAATTGGATGAACAAGTTTCGTTGGTTTTGCAAGGATTTTCCTCCCATCGAAACTATTTTGTAAATTAACTTCATACAAAAACTATAAATACTGAGATTAGTTTTGTTTTTCCAACATGAAACTATTTGAAAAGTTTTCAGAAATAGTTAAAAAAATATTCCAATCAATAACTGTCTTATACACTATTGAAAATTGTGTCTTATACTAACAAACCAACACTATTCTCTATTTCAAATATAAATTGACATTTTCCATCAATAAGTTATACTACTAACTATATCAGTATTTTCTTATATCTTTGCACCTTGAATGACGAATTTATGTAATAGTATGTTGTCATAAATCTGATTTTGAAATGTATTATGCTTTCTTTTTATTTTTAAAACAAATATTATATATATACTGGTTTATATATTGGAAAATTCATGAGTAAGGGTTAGTTGAAAATGTTCAATTTATGTCGATAGTAAGTATAAACAACAATTTAGAATACAATTTGTGTAAAGAAAATGGTATCAACTCAATTTTAAAGTATGTTGACTATTCAAATGATGTATTTGATTTGTTTTCTGAAGGGATTATTAGATACAAAATAATAACCAATGTTAGCCATCTGTTCAATAGTAAAATGTATTTGTTAAATTATACATTTATTATTGTTGTACTTAACAACAAACACTATAGATTCTCAAATGGTTTGATAACTTTAATAATGGTGAATGGCGATGAACATTGACGAGCTTTTATATGATCATGATGGGGGAACAATTTTTATAAATTAAAAATTCGATAACACTTACGTTACAAATATCATTATTAAAGTAATTTGTATTCAAAGTTGAAGGTTTTATTGAGGAAAATGAATTCATAGATAAAGATAATTTTTATCACTTACTATATGGTAATGGAATTAAAGTTGAAGATTCAAATACAATTTTGAATATATTATTCTTATTATTTCTGAAGTTTAATGAATATTAACCTTAAACATCATAACATTGACATTACAAGTCAATGATGTATTATGTGATGATACATGAGAAAGATAAACAATTCAAGTTCCTTTCAATTTATGTTATATATACCAAAATCTACTTCTTAATTTGTAGGCAAATAACTTTTTGGAAAGACGTTACTTTATAGTAGATACAAATAATGAATAAGAAAAGAAAATTTTGTGAGGTGATTTGTTAAGAAAAATATGTTACATGATAAGATATTTTAAAATAACCATATAATCATGTTTTTGACCACAAAAGTTTTACATAATTTAAACAAATATAAATATTCGACTTTTTGTTATAAGTTACCCTACTGGTTTAGTACAAGGTTAGATTGGAATATGTTTGATTTTTTAATTTGTTTCAAATATTCAATTGTTTTCGAGATTATAAATAACTTAGTTAAATAGACAATAAAACATATAACTTATTTAGTATTGACATACTTGCAATTTTATTACAACCAAACTTTTATACAAAATATAGATAATTTAAAATTGTCAATAAAGTAATATAATTGCATGAAAGGTAATTTTGTAATACATGTATTTCCTCAAAAACAATTACAAAGAGTTTTTGTATGAAGTTAATTTACAAAATATAACATATTTATTTTTATAAAATGAGTTTCCGTGCGATATCGCACGGGTTCTTTACCTAGTTTAACAAATGGGAATAAGTAATAATTAGTTTGGGAGCTAGATTGACCTAATTTATAAAGTTGGCGTGTAGGTTGTGCATGTGAACATAAAAGAGGTCCATTTTATGTGTTGGTCAAGATTTTTGAGCGTTCACGTGATCTAAAAAAAAAAAAATAAGAAGAAGGATAACACACGCTTTGATATCGAGAGCTAAGAACCCAAACACTTAAAAAGACTCTAGTAGTGGTTTGTCTGAGCTGCACGCAGAATATGCTCTTTTTGTTGTTTGGGTAATTGGGTTAAACTATTTTTTATGAGTTATTGTTATTTGTTTGTTGGGTTAACTTTTGGAAGTAAGGATCGTGTGAATGTTTTTACGTTTTTAAAATTTTTGTCACCTATAGAATGAATTTTATGTTAGGGTAGTGAGTGTCCAGGATTGCGAAGTTGTTTTATATCGTACAATTAAATATTAGTCAAAATTAAGGGGAGTCATTTTAGTTGAGATAGCGTACAATTCGAAATAGAGCAGGACTGGTGGGTTTTATATTTGGAAACTTCGTGGGCTGTTAAGGGTGGTCTTATTGTTGGACGTTTGAAGATGAGAAGCCTAGTTCATGAAGTAGCAACTGGCTGTTGTGTTATTTTATGTTGTATTGATCTACTTAATTGATTTGGTAGATTATTTGTATTTGGGTTACGGAAATAGTTGTGTCCCTTTGGTAGAGGGCAGTAGGATGATGCTTGGCTCTTTATTGAGATGTTCGGGTGGTGTCAATCGTAACTTCTAGGTCACGCAAACATGGAGTTTATAACCTTTTTCTGCTCAACAGATTTGTCTTCAAATAATGGTGGCATTTTTTATTTATAAAAATGGCCTTCAAGGTAGCAAGATTTCATGTGTGCAGAGCTCGGTTTGTTGTGGTTCTAATTTATCAAGTCGTTGGATCTTTCCCTCGAATGTGTAAGACATAAACTGATAAAAGTTATGTATTATTGTTAACGACATGACATGTAGTTTTTATTTTTTAATTAGGTGTTTTCCTTAACATGTGCAGTGATAAAAAATTTAAAAGTTTAATTATACTTAAAATAAAATCTCTTAATCTTAACTAATATTTAATATAAATTTGATTTAATTAAGCATAAAGTTAAAAATTGTTTATTTTAAATTATATTTAATAATATATGTAATATATTTAAAATTCATACCTTAGAATTTATTTATCTATTTATTTGGTTAAATATATTAAATCAACTTGTATAAAATTACTAAGAATTTTTTTATAAAAATTGTATATTTATTAAAAATTATAACTAAATAATATTTATAAAATTTGTCGATATCTAAAAGAAACTAATGATATTACGATTCAAAATTTATTATTTTTTAAAAAGATGTAAAATATTTTAAAAATTTAGTAATAAAAATTGTATAGTTATAAAAGTAAAATTAAATAACATTTCAAAATTTATAATGCATATTTTTTTATATTTATTTTTAGTGATGATTTGATTTATGAATTATTACCCTATTTTAAGAAGTTTACCAAAAATATAAATCAACATTAAATATAATGTATCAGTTATTACCATATTTTATAAAGTTTACCAAAAATATATATCAGCAATAAATATAATTGTTCATATCATATTTACCTATAAACCATGTCATTAATCTTAGTAGTTATGTTATTTTTTTTAGAAATAATTGTAGAAAGGACATGTGGTAAATCACTTCGCAAATAATATATGGAGATCAAAAACATCCCGTTATCCTATATTGGAGTAAAATTATTGACTGTATATAGAGATGACAAACAGGTTGTCCCGTCCAATCTCGTTCTGGACTGCAGCTGGGATTTTTTTAAGAATGTCACAGCGGGTCAAGTCTACGCGAGCTGCGGTCTTTGAAATGGCTACCCAAACCCGTCCTGCTATATGTACAAGCTTTTACGGGTCAGTCCCCAGAACATGTGATAATACACACAAAAGAATGATTTAAGCCACTTCAAAACACTTTAAGCCGCTCTAGAATATAATTCAAGTCTTCGATTTAAGTGGACATTATTTATCAATCATTGCTCCGCTTATTTTTCATTCAAAACAATAATTTGTATCACATCGAAAATATATTAATGTATAAAATAAAAATAATTGTAGAAGATATTTTCATTATCTTATAACTCATAAATTTATAACCAATATTATAATTTGATGAATCCAAAAATTAAATGAAATCAAATGTCAAATCAAAAGTGTCAATCCCAACCATTCCATAGATCTTTCACTTCTATGTAACAGAAAAAAAAAAATCTTTTGAAAAATACAAAAACTATAAAATGCAGGAGAGAGAAGAGACACGAGATGACTGCAGATAAATTATGATACAGTTATAATCTTTAGCACCACTTGTCAATTTCTTATTGGTGTCGATTTAAAAGAAAACAAAAAAAAATTAACTATCAAATAAATACACATTAAAATAAAATTATATTTGAGTTGAGATACTAATTTGAGTATTAGACCAATAAGGTTGCTCTTAGTCTTTCAACAGTTGTAATTCATTTCATTTGTGATTTCTATTTTAGTTAGATTTTAATTGTTTGTTAATATCAGTGATTTGATTGTTAAGAAATGTGTCCAATAATTAACTTTATAAAATTTTATATCAGCTGGAAAGAAAAGAAAAATTATTTTACTTGATAAAATCAATAAACACGTTAGTTATATATCGGTTCATAATAAAATAGATAAAAACATACATTTTTATAGAGAATACATAAATTTATGAAAACGTATAATCTTCATGATACGAATCAACAGCAATTACATTGACTGCATACAAATCTGTAAAAGAAATTGCCATCACCTTGTCCAGGAATAATCATTTGGACGTTTGGTCGGTCGTTTGGTTGTTCATTGCAAAACTCCTCGCAAGCTTCTTTACATATGGGGGTTAGATTAGGCTTCTTAATTACTTTCATGCACTTATTTGCAATGCAATCTTTTATACACATTTGTACGTCGATTGAATGAGAATTGTGTGCTGAAAACACTATCATAATCATAATTATGATCATGAAAACACTTGATTTTTTGTGAATTCCCATGACGTATCTATTTAGTTATCACAAATACTAAGAAAATATTGCACTTTCTTCCTTTAAAATCGTAAATAAGATAATTTGATGAGCGATGTTAGGTTAATGTTGGTGATTTATATAGCAGAACCAATAATACCTCTCGTATTAGTTGTTTTAAAATCAATTTTACTATTTTGTCTTAAAATATATATTGATTCAATTAAATTTGTAAATTTTAGCTGCGCTCTGTCTATTTTAGTTCTCCAAACAACTCATTACTATAAAAAAATAATAATTATTCGTTCGTATTGCTAATTTATTAGCTTGCAGATATATCCATATACCATTTTGGTTTATTTTGTAACCACTTGTTTTTATGGTTAACTATTGTAACTACATGTTGTTACATAGAAGTAAAAGATCTATGGAACGGTTCAAGAAGGGTGAAGGACACAAATAAGCCTATAATATCAGCCATTGTTGTTTCTTAATATATACAGTTGTCCTCTTTCTGCGATAGCGAACGAGTGTCTTCTTTATATTACCACATTCGAGAGACCATCGTCATGAAAGTTCCGCCGCACCATCAACACAACCTTGGCTATGTTGAAAGTTTCCTCTCCAAAGATACCTAATAACAACATTTGAATATGTCTATTTCACCTTTTGTAACTATTAGGCTGGTTCAGTTGGTTTAGTTCAATTGGTTAGCTAGAATTAATTTCGGTTTAAGTTAGTTAGTTGGTTAAGTTTCCTTTTGCTTAACCAACAACGGATATAACAAACTCTTTGTACAGTTTTCTTTTTTTGAGCTGAATAATCAATTTTTTATCATCTTCCTCGTTCATCTTTTCTCTCTTTTCATCTTCATCATCTCCATNTTAATTTCGGTTTAAGTTAGTTAGTTGGTTAAGTTTCCTTTTGCTTAACCAACAACGGATATAACAAACTCTTTGTACAGTTTTCTTTTTTTGAGCTGAATAATCAATTTTTTATCATCTTCCTCGTTCATCTTTTCTCTCTTTTCATCTTCATCATCTCCATGAAATTCAGCTTCAATTTCAAGCTCTTGATTTGATATGGTATCAGAGCACACACACAAAACTTCCGCTTCGATATTAGTTTCCCGATCTTGTTGTTTTCGCGATTCTTGACTCTTCTCTGTCACGCGATTAGAGATTTCATTGCTCACATCTTCATCTGTTTCGTGATCTTTCTTTGATTTTGATTCTGATCTCGACGTTTCTTTTCTGGATATTGATTGATCTCTGTATCGATCGTTGATTCTTCTGGAATTTACTTATGGCGTTCTCTCATTCAAATCAACACTCGGAGAGATCAGTGACTGATATTTATGATAATCCGTTCTATCTTCATCACACTGATCATGCTGGCCTTGTTCTTGTTACGGATCGTTTAAACACAGCATCAGAGTTTCACTCTTGGCGACGTTCGATTCGTATGGCGCTGAATGTTCGTAACAAACTCGGGTTTATTGATGGTACGGTTGTTAAATCAGCGTCTACGCATCGTGATTTTGGTGCTTGGTCTCGTTGCAACGATATGGTGGCTACGTGGCTGATGAATTCTGTTTCAAAGAAGATTGGTCAGAGTTTACTCTTAATCAACACGGCAGAAGGTATCTGGAACAATCTCTTAGCTAGGTTTAAGCAAGATGATGCGCCTAGGGTCTCTTTGATATAGAACAGAAATTGAGTAAGCTTGAGCAAGGTTCCATGGATGTTACAACATATTATACGGAACTTGTGACTCTGTGGGAAGAACACAAGAATTATGTTGAATTGCCTGTTTGTACTTGTGGCAAATGTGAGTGTGATGCAGCGGCTCTTTGGGAGAAGTTACAAGAACGTAGTCGAGTTACTAAGTTTCTCATGGGGCTTACTGAATCGTATGAACACACACGTCGTCACATCTTGATGTTAAAGCCTATTCCCACTATTGAAGAGGCGTTCAATATTGTGGCTCAGGATGAAAGACAACGTTCTCTCAAACCAGTTACTCCGGTTGACAATGTGGCTTTTCAGAACACTGCTCCGTTGATGCATTCTACTGATGAAGCTTCTTATGTTGCTGCTTATAATACTGCTCGTCAAGCACAGAAGCCAGTGTGTACACATTGTGGGAAATTGGGACATACGGTTCAGAAATGCTTCAAGTTACATGGATATCCACCTGGTTATAAGAATCATGGCACTTACAAGAACCAGAATCAGGCGAAAAATGCTCAAGTCCAACAACAACAGAATTTGCAGACTCATACTGCTAATGCTATTGCCAATGCAGGCATTTCAGCCTACTCAACTGGTTCTTATCCTACTGTGACTACGGATGGAAGTAATGTTCCACTGCAATATTTCACACCACAACAAATTCAACAACTCATTGCTCAGTTCAATTCTCAAGTTCGAGTTCCAGAGCCTCAAGTCCCTTTCTCTGCGGCTGTGTCTAAGGCAACTATCACAGATCATGGAATCATGGCTTCCACTTCAACCGCTGGTATAATACCTTTTCCTTCTCAAAGCCTTACCTATGACAATGATATTTTGAAATTTCAGAATCATTGCCTTTCCACTTTACCTTCTTTTTTACCTAGTGATGCTTGGATTATAGATAGTGGAGCTTCTAGTCATGTATGTTCAAACCAGAAAATGTTTACTACTTTAACACCAGTTTCTAGTGTTTCAGTGTCTCTTCCAATGGATCCTAATCTACATTTGACAAAGGACCTTGGAAAGTTACTTCCTACGCCAACACAGTACAGAGAGCTTGTTGGACGCTTATTGTACTTGTGTATCACTCGACCAAATATTACGTTTGCAGTCCATCAGCTCAGTCAATATCTTTCTGCCCCGACTGATGTTCATTATCAAGCAGCTCTCAAAGTTCTGCGTTACTTAAAGAACAATCCTGGTCAAGGGTTGATGTATGCGTCTGATAATGATCTTTGCTTAAGTGCATTTTCTGATGCAGATTGGGCAGCTTGCAAGGATACAAGGCGATCTGTTACTGGTTTCTGTGTTTATTTGGGAACGTCTCTGATTTCCTGGAAATCTAAGAAACAGGCAGTGGTTAGTCGAAGTAGTACAGAGGCTGAGTACAGGAGTCTTGCTCTTGCTACATGTGAACTCATTTGGTTACAAAAGCTTCTCAAGGATCTTCATGTTACAATGACATCGATTCCGAAGCTCTTCTGTGACAATAAATCCGTTGTTCACATTGTCACTAATCCCGTTTTCCATGAGCGTACTAAGCACATCGAGATAGATTGCCACACTGTTCGTGATCAGATCAAAGCGGGACGTCTTCTTGCGCTTCATGTCTCATCTGGAAACCAACTTGCAGATATTTTGACTAAACCTCTGCACCCTAGGCCTTTCCTTTCTATGTTACAACGTCTCTCGTTATCAAGTCTTTTTCTTCCGGTTCTGAAGCTAAAGACTTGAGGGGGGTGTATTAGGATGGTTCAGTTGGTTTAGTTCAATTGGTTAGCTAGAATTAATTTCGGTTTAAGTTAGTTAGTTGGTTAAGTTTCCTTTTGCTTAACCAACAACGGATATAACAAACTCTTTGTACAGTTTTCTTTTTTTGAGCTGAATAATCAATTTTTTATCATCTTCCTCGTTCATCTTTTCTCTCTTTTCATCTTCATCATCTCCATNTTAATTTCGGTTTAAGTTAGTTAGTTGGTTAAGTTTCCTTTTGCTTAACCAACAACGGATATAACAAACTCTTTGTACAGTTTTCTTTTTTTGAGCTGAATAATCAATTTTTTATCATCTTCCTCGTTCATCTTTTCTCTCTTTTCATCTTCATCATCTCCATGAAATTCAGCTTCAATTTCAAGCTCTTGATTTGATAGTAACCAGCTATAAAGACTGGAACTTGCTTAACCATTGGGGTAAATTAACACCGTACCACATTTTTCAGACACTGATTTTTCATGCAAATAATTTAAACATCTGAATCACTTGTCGAATCTAACATATAGAAACCTCGCTCATAATTGTTCTACAAACAAAAGAAAATGATTATACATATATAAAGAAACAAGCAAGCATAACTAAAAAAACAAGAAAACCAATCCAAAATCTGCGCTTAAACTTTCCCACCAGTTCGGAGTTTTAACACATATCAAACAGATATGAAACCGTGTTAAATACATCCATACATATAGATTCGGAAAACTGGACTCTATTAATTAAAAACAAGAAGTGAAATGGCGACCAACAACAAAGAGGCCGCCGGCCACTGAAACAATAACTTGAACGGAAAGCTCTAAAGGAGATATCAGAGAAGATTGAGAAAGAAATGGTAGGTAAAAAAATAATTTGATCATCACTTTGACATCATTTCATTTGCTAGCAATTATGCTAATATGAAAATAAGCACATTTAAAAACATGGGAAAACACAACTAAGTGTTGACCAAAACAATTTCTTGACATTTTAAATGTATAACTAATATTTTGAATATTTTTGAATGTTCATTTGATTTTTGACTCGGGTCGAGTGTACTAATTATTTGGCCTATTCAAATATATACATTGGTTCTGGTTTTGTACCTCAAAATTTGAATCAGTTTGATTCTTTGGATATTATGCCTAGGAACGACCACCCAAATTCACTAATATGTCGTAACGTAACGTAACGTAACGTAACGTAACGTAACGTAACGTAACTGATGGAAATCCTTTGACAAGAAAAAGAAAAAAAGAGTGGTCAGGTTCGGTTTAGAGGCAATTCCGTTGGTTCCTGCATGGTTTTTTGTTTGATTTGAAAAACCAATTGAAGAAGTTGCTATTCGCGAGGGTGTTGCGTCAAAAGCCTCCTCTTGTACACAGTGGAGCCAGTGGCAACTACTCGATTTCATTTTACCAACAGGAGGCTTCGCTCATTCCTTTGGTCTCGAGGCAGCTGTTCAGACACGGTTAGTTTCCTCTCCGACAGATCTCGAAACCCACATCATCCACGTCTTAGACAACACAGCTAGCTTATTACTTCCTTTTGTCTACTCTGCCCTCAAATCTCCCGACATAGAGACATGGCAAAGACTCGATCTCTTACTTGACGCTACCTTAACTAACCAAGTCTCTTCAAAGGCATCGATCTCTCAAGGATCAGCTTTGTTCCGCATAGCTGCTTCTGTTTTCACTGAGATCCCATCTCTAAAGATGATCAGAGACGCTTCTTTGGGCTCCAAGGAGTTACGTTTCCACCACGCTCCGATCTTTGGGCTTGTATGTGGGCTTCTTGGGATGGACCCCGAGACTTCTCAGAGGGCTTACCTGTTTGTTACACTGAGAGATGTTGTCTCGGCTGCAACGAGGTTGAACTTGGTGGGACCGATGGGTGCTTCAGTGATGCAGCATCGTATGGCCGTTGTTGCTGAAACGGTTTTAGAGAAGTGGAAGGATCGTGATGCGGGTGAAGCGTGTCAGACATCTCCTTTGCTATATGTTGTGCAAGGTTGTCATGGTTACTTGTTTTCTAGATTGTTTTGTTCTTGATGAACACATATGAATGTAACTTTTATGTTCTCTAAGTTTGTAATAAGCATGAGAATGATTTAATTATATACTTCTGAGATAAGATGATATGTTTCTTTTTAAACATTTGTTGTCTCTCATGATGCTTACAACAATGCTGTGGGGTGACCACTTTCCCAGGTACTGTATTGATAATTCCACAACTCTGATCTTATGTTCCATATTCCTACATTGTCCAGTGATATGTATATTGCAGTCCATGATATATTAGCATAAAAACAAGTTGTTACAAAATAAACCAAAATGATTTATGGGATATATCTGCAAGCTAGAATTTGCAATACAGACGATTAACCATTGTTTAGTTATGACAATAAGCTGTTTGGAGAACTATAAATAGACAAACCACAGCTAAATTTTATAAAACTAATCGGACATATATATTTTAAGCAAAAATAACAAACAGACTTCAAACAACTATTAAAATTAGTTAGTATTGGTTCTTCTATATATATTACCTACGTTAACCTAACATTACTCAACAAATTATCTTGTTTGCGATTTAAAAAGAAGAAATTGCAATATCTTCTTAGCCTTTGTGATAATTAAATACATACGTCATGGGCGTTCAGAAATAATCAAGCGCTTTCATGATCACAGTTATGATTATCATAGTGTTTTCAACACAAATTTCTCACTCATTCAATATAGAAATGTGTATTAAACATTGTATTCCGAATCAGTGCATGAATATAATGAAAAAGTCTGATTTAACCATCTGTGGAAAAGTTTGCGAGAAGTTTTGCAATAAACAACAAAACAGTCAGACAGAATATGTTGTTCATAAATCTTACCAAATATACAAAATTCATAACTGAAATTTGATGTTATAATAAAAATTAAAACATGTTATCATTTTCACTAAACAATATCATCTTTTTCTTAAGAATAAATGTAGTAGTGACACATAAATAATTTTTAAAACATTATTTCCTGATTAATGTTTAGGAGATTTTTAGTTGGATTTGGAGAAAGCAAAGACTTAACTAAGTAATGGTAGTCTAGTTACAATCTTTTGGGGTTTGGTGTGTATCCACCTCAGTTTTGAATTTCATTTCATTTAGGAACTAAATGATCATTATTTGGCCAGTTTGGACTTGGATAAAAAAATTGGCCCCTAATATAGAACTTAGTGAGGTTTGAACCCATGACCCTAACAATGTAACAGACTATTTTCCACTGAACCAACAATGATTCTTGCAAATTAGCCATAAATGATTTATAAATGTATTGGTCCTAAGCACATTTTTGACGAGCTTATGGTCAGGTATGACTCTGGTTGTAATGAATGATCGGTTTATTCCTTAGTATTAGTCGGAAGGTATTCCAAATTCGGATCAAACAGTGTGATATGTTTTTGGGATAATCCACTCTTTATCACTAAATGTTTTGCTCTCGGGACCGACCCGATCAGCCGCTAAAGTTTATCAAAAAAAAAAAAAAAAACTTGTGCTATGCATTACGTTGTTGTGAAACCGAGGCTATGGTCTCAAAACCTTCAAAATACAAATTTGTACGATAAAAACAGTGAGGCCCAAGCCCATTAAGTGTACATTTCTTAATGTTTGTTTTGTTGTTTAGAAATCTTATTTAGCCGTGTTATGACAGATTTGTCCCAAAAAAAAAAAAAAAAAATTTGTCCAAAAAAAAAGAAAAAAAAAGCCGTATTATGACAGTTTATTTGAGGAAACTATCGCAAGAAGATCTCAAAATTGAAAGAGAGCTGTCATCCCTACCTCTCCAACTCCAAGTGTAATCTGACCTTCGTTTTCTCTCAGAAATACGAAACGTCGTTGGAGAGAACATGAGGATTTTGCTCGTCAAATGATGGTGCTCGTGTCCGTCTTTGTCGCTATCCTACCGTTTCTTGCATTACTTAAACAATCACGAACCATAACTCGTGGCGTCTTTTGGAGTCATAAAGGTCGTAACTCAGGCTCTATGGACGTTGCAATACACAGCGCTTTTCTTTGCTATGGCGTTGTTCTTACTGGTCTACGTAGCTCGGGGTACGAATGATCCAGCTCGGAAGCGGAAACTCAAAGTCACCGTCTACGTACCTCTTTGCATATTGCTTTCCACATATATACCCTGTTATAGCTGGAGTCTTTCTGCTGCTCTCTATGTCTCTCTGCACCATTATTTTAGTGGCGGATTTCTTCATATAAGATGATGATTGTGATCAGATCGATGATCTTTTCAAAAAAAAAACGGACTATCATGTCAAATATCAGGATTAGCTAGTCTAAATAATATATGGAAAAAACATATGGATCTATTTATACTCTTTTTAAAGATATTCTACCGCGTATATTATATATAACGTGGTAACTTATAGTAATTGCAAGCCAAACGTTGGTTATGATTCGTCGTCATTGCATTTACCCTGCGATGTGAAAATTCATCTTCTTTGGGGAAAAAAGAACTGCTTGGAAAGAATGCATTAGAAACTCTTTTCTTTCTAGAAAGATAAAAACAAAAAAAGTTATTAACAATATATTCATATTAAAAAATATAATCTGTTTTGATATCATTTAAATTAAACTAGAGTTCGCTTGGCAGGTGATTAATAAATAAATATATATATATATTGATTTATATTTTTCATGTGACCATTATATATGTTAGATGTGTTACTATATTTTAAGGTAATTGTATTGTGGGAATTAATTTTTATAAGTTTATATTTACGATTCATTTTAAGTGTTCTATATTTTATATATTTGACCATATAATAAATTTCATATTATTATATTTACAAATCATGTTGTATGATGTAAATGTGACCATTTAATTACATGTATATAATTGAAATATGTATCAAATATTTCTTATATTCTATTTATCATAATGAAATGTTAATTATTTAGTAAATAATAGCCAAAATCTATATTACACAAAAATAATATATTACTAATAAAAAGTTCATTAGAATTAAAGTTTTTTTAACATTTATCCATGTTTCCAAACTTATTCACTTTTAATACGGCTATTCATGTTTTCAAATAATTTTCATTAGTACTTCAGTTTTAATAATATAGATTAGATACTATATGAAAATATAAAACTATTTTAATTTCAAAATTCTGGAAATGTGTAATAGTAGAATTGATAAAAATAAATATCTTATACAATTTGTATTTGATGAAATCCTTAAAATATATTTATATATCTTTTGTTATTATGTTTTATAAATATTTATTTTATAAAATATTCCACTCTGCACACAAAAATTATTATTACATAATATATATTTATTTCAGAGATATACTCTATAATAGACTAAAATAAGTTCTGCGAACAATATTGAATCAGTCCAAAAAGCAAATATAGCATTTGGACTATCTTTTTTTCATGTAATTTCTAAATAAAACAAATATAACATTGATTTTCTAAAATTTCACAAATACTTTTCAAACAGAAAAATTGAAAACTTTAATTTAAAACGTTCTTAAATTATTTAAAAATTTCGTTTATTATAATTTTAAATTATTTACTTCTGTTTAAATAATTGTTAGTTCTGTTTTCAAATTTTTATTTTATTATATATTTCAATTGTTATCCTGTTTAATAGGTTATTTAGTAACTTTTATTGATGTATATGTATAGCAAAACTTTTCCCTGTTTATAAAAAAAATCATTTATTTTATCAAACTACTTATTAATTCATATTATAAGTTTATTGACGTGATGATGTATTTTTTTTTTGTAATTAAGTGATGAGGTGTTTAAAATCAGTTTTGCGTAATGATATGGTTAGGAACTAATACAACTATTTTCCACTTAAATAATGGAGAAGCTAATAATTTTAATGGAATTAACTTGTTTTTTCTTTAGTGGGAACAATTAGTTACAATTTATTTATAGAAAATATTTGTTTTGATGATCAAATAGTATACCACACATCTCAATATCTTTAACCAAAACAGGAAAAAGAAAACAATTTGACATCTTAATGACAGGTAGTAATTTTAAAATCTGTTAAAACTAAATTTACTAAGCATGCATATAAGTACATCTACATCAACTTGGAATCTTTACCAAATCATCTTCTTTCAAAACCACAATAAAGAAACATATACAATTAAAAAGTGTAAAAATTACAATACGATATGGCAGTTCAAGTATCAAAAAACATTTTCAGTGTTTTAGTGATTGTAATTTTGCTTACAATGATGTTTTCATCCCAAATCTCACATTCTTATGTAATGGATGAGAAGTGTGTAAAAAATTGTATCGTGAATATATGTATGAAGGCATCAACAAAAGCAACTCCAACCAAATGTACCAATCCATGCCAGGCAATATGTGATCCATTGGGTAATGAGCACTTCATCGTCCCTCGAGGTGGTCAAAATCCAGTAAAAGCTTTCTGTCAAACATTTAGCTGGGTATGCCGTACTTAAAACCAAAAATTGTCTTGGTTTATGCATACATCACATGTTTATGTTTTCATATATATCACTGTATCGACTACTATCTTTTATTTTCGACAAAACTGTATTGACTACTATTTCATGTACGTGTTTATTCTTATTCCTATAAATTTTGTTTTATATATATAACAGTGCGAGGTAAAATCATAATGAGTGATCAATTGAAAACTCTGAACTCTTGGAAAATATAACCGTACATCAACATCTAGATGATTGCAGAACAGAAAGCAAAACCTAATTAGTTTGTATATGTTGGGATAAGATATATGTAATGGATTTGAGTAGTATATAAAAGACTTCAACCAATCCAGTAATCACCAATTAATTTAGAAGTTTAAAATTTTTATCATAGTATCAAAGCGGATCTACACCCAGATCTATTAATTTGGCCCGGACAGTGGTCCAAGCATTCTATTAGCTGACGGTCCATAGAAAGTTCAGTTCCGCCAAAATTATATGAAAATAAAGCATTTTTTTGGAGGGAAGTATAATGAATTCTACGAAATTAATTGTTATACACACAATTATCTCGAGGGATGGTGTTGGGATAAAGATCACACATCAGATATATATAAAGGACTATATATAAAAGATTTAGATCAATCCACTAATCGCCAATTGTATTAAATTAAAAACCCAAAAAAACTTATCAGTATCTTCTTTTGATCAACTGAAATCTAGTAATTAGGTATGCTATATTAGATACTAATATACAATGAAGATTAATAATGTTCATATCCCTCTCTCTGTAAGCTAGCTTCTTCTAAAGACTGGAGCTAAACTCTCTTAGATAGAGTTATAAAATGTGTTAGTCCACGTTCATTTGTTCATATCTATTTGTGTATTTATATCTATTTTCTATTTATTGTTTGGTCAGAGAGTGGCCATGTCTATTACAAACCGTGTATATTAAAAACTAAACCTATTTATATAGACATGAATAACCAATAGTTAGTCCACCGATTTGACAGCTATACTTTCAGATGATTGGACTTCCAAGATGCGAATCGCGACTTCATAAAACTCTGCCCACTCCCCTAGCATGGGGTTGGCCACGGTCTGTTTGCTGTACGGTTGGTCCTACAAAACACGAACTAAACAAATCATTAAGTAGTTATCTTTGCACCATGAAGTTAACAAAACAACTAAATATTTTCAAGAACTGAAACATTATATCACCATATCTAATAGTCCATGAGATTTAGGTAATACTTTTGATGACATGCAAATAAAAGAAGCTGGACTTGCTATATGTTGCATCTTGGCTAGTTATATTACTACTAAAAGATAATACCATAGCTATGTGCTGCAGTACATATTTATAATTTGAAACTTAGTTTGTGAGATTCTATAGAGGGAAATAAAAGATGATTATCAATATTGAAGAAAACTAAAGTTAAAAAAAAAAATATGAAAGAAAACTTTCCTACAAATTAAAATGGAAGTTTTTTTTTTATAGCTACACATCTTTTCTTACATCTTTTTCTACTTAACTAAAAGGAAACATATACAAGAACGTACCATTGTTTTTTTTGAATCTGTTATCTTAGTTCTAAATAAAATATTTGCTTGTTTGTTAAAGTAGTTAAGTATTTACTTTAGTTTTAAATAAATATTTATTATATTTGTAAATTTCAGGTTATTAAAAATAGTTTACTAACTTTCCTATTTTGTGAATGTTATTTTCTAACATTTGTCCTTGTGATCTATATAGCAAAAACTCGTTATGCCTGTTTATGATAACTATCCCTTATTTTATCAAAAATACCTATTATTTATATCATAAATTATTTATGTGATGGTGTGAGTTTAAAATTAGTTTTTCGTAATAATATTTGGTTAGGAACTAAAAAACTATTTGCCACTTAAATATGTGTTGTATACGCTAATATTTTTATGAAAACAACTAGTCTTTTCTTTAGTGAGAAAAATTAGTTGCAATTTCAATAACAAGTATTTGTTCAGATGATAAAACAGTATAACAACACCTCGTTATATTTAACCAAAAAAAGGGGGAAAAAAACTGATAGCTTAATAACGGGTCGTAATTTTCTTAAACCTGTTAAAACTAAATTTACCAAACATATAAATACATCTACATCAACTCGGAATCTTTACCAAATCATCTTCTTTCAAAACAACAATAAACATATACAATTTAAAAGGTGTAAAAAAATTACATTACGATATGGCAGTTCAAGTATCAAAGAAGTTTTTCAGTGTTTTAATGATTGTAATTTTGTTTACAATGATGTGTTCATCACAAATCTCACATTCTTATGTAATGGATGAGAAGTGTGTAAAAGACTGTATCGTGAATATATGTATGAAGGCATCAACAAAAGCAACTCCAACCAAATGTACCAATCCATGCCAGGCAATATGTGATCCATTCGGTAATAAGCGCTTCATCGTCCCCCGAGGTGGTCAAAATCCAGTAAAAACTTTCTGTAAAACATTTAGCTGGGTATGTGGTAATTAAATCCAAATTGTCTTCGTCTATGCATACCATACCATCACATGTTTATTTTTTTTGTATAATTGTATCGACTACTATCTCATGTACGTGATTATTCTTATTCCCAGAAAATTATATATTTAACAGTGTGAGCTACAATCAGGTCTGGGTACACGCATTATGATCAGTGATCAATTGAAATCTCTAAGCTCTTGGGAGATATAACAATACATTAATATCTAGATGATTGCAGTGCAGTGGTTTTCCATTACTAATTTTAAAAATATTTTTCTTAAGTAAAAACTGTTATCAAACTATTAGTTGTTGAACAAGAAAACAAGACCTCGTTAGTTTTTTTTTTTTTTTTTTTTTTTTTTTTGATCAAGTGAAATCTTATTAATTATGCTATGCTAGATTCAGCGGAGAAGCCTAATTTTTTTTTTTTTTTTTTTGTAAATTCAAGTTCAGAAAATGTTAAGCGAATTAAATGATCTTCGTAGAAACGCTTTCAATGGCAAAAAAAAAAAGCCTGAATTCTTATGGATTTTAGAATATTCAGTTTTGTTTCGACATGGAAACCTACTAATGAGCAAATTAAAACTTTTTGTTAACAATAAGATGATTTTGATTCATCTCATCAGTTACATATGATCAGCCAAAATCGTTATGTAACCATGGAAAGCAAGAAGAAAAGCATAAACAATTATACATAGAAAGGCATTTATCACTCAAGTTTCCTCAAATCTCAGCTTGAGTAGCCTTATTAGTCTCCTGACCTTCCTTTGTTTTCATCTCCGATTCTCCGGCTAAGACTTTACCGGCGTCCACTACTTTAACCGGACTCTTAACTGGAAGTCCTTTGCTAATTTCGTCATCATCCATCATTCTCTTGTCTTTGCCTTTTCCCTATACAACAGTGTATAGACCCACAATTATAAATATCGTTCCAATCACACTGAAAAAAAAAGTAAAAACAATTTTATTAATATGGTATGGAAATTTATGAATATTATTAATTTAAGAAATAAACTGAGAAAAATACCTTCCGAGATGAATACTTTCAGACAAGACAACAACACCAAGAGCTGCAGTTATAACGACACAAAGAGGATTAAATGTCGCAACGAAAACTGGTCCTCTTTCTCTCATCACTACTCCTTGCACGTAATACGCCACTCCCGAACAAATCACCCCCTAATCACCATTTAGTTTAGTTAATTATTTACATTAAATCTTTTTCAATTACCATCATGCGTACAAAATTATAGCTTCTTTTGTACTCCCGCCGTTTCATAATAAGTGTCGTTGTATAGAAAATTTTTCGTCACAAAATAAGTGTCGTTTTCGGTTTTCAATGCAAAATTTATTAACTTTATTATGTAATTTATTTTTCTATTGGTTGAAATATGGTTAGGTGTATGGGTAATTGTGTTTTTATATAGAAAATATGCAAAATTAATTGTTTCCTTAATCCGTGTGCACGAGCTTAGAGTGACACTTATTTTGAAACAGAGGGAGTATTTACTTACGGAGTAAGCGGCGGCGAAGAGATTGGAGTCGAAACCGATTTTCCAAGCGCTCAAGTCACGTACCGTTACCAATGATATGGCGGTTCCTTCTAATGTTCCCATTAAACAAATTAACGCCGTTAATGATAGCTCAGCTGGGTACTCCTTCAGTGTAAACGACTGCGTTTTAACATAGTAAAACAAAACCGTTAGATTTTCCTTTTCTCCACGGTTAACGAATAAACCGGATATTATGTATTAATTTGTAGATTGGTATACTGACTTGTAGAATGAAGAAACCGGCCCAACCAAAAGTTCTTCCCAGCAACATTAGAGTTCCTAGAACCCAGTGTTTGTCCAAAGCTGCTGATACTGCACCACCGTGGGATCCTCCTGCACTGCCACCGCCGCCTCCTCCGCCACCGAATTTTATGAAGTCAACAATTGGACCTTTGTAGAGAGTCATGAGTAGTGCTCCGGAGACTGTGATCACTGTTCCGACAACTTTGGCTATGCTTCGTACCTTCTTAAAGTTCACGCTCTCTAATCTGAAAATTTTAAATATAATAAAAGTCCATATAAAGATCGAGATTATGTCTAATTGTTATATAAACACTACATGTCCATGAAAATAACAGTCGTGTTCTACAGAGTTATAATGACATCTTACGTAAGTAGAATTGTGATGATCTCACACGATATATTTCTTTTGGTGTTTATTACTAATTGATTATACATGTGGTATCATAATCCACGAACATACTAATTGTAAGAAAGTGAAGCTTTGAGATTGAAGAACAAGAGAGAGAGGAGAGAAAAGAGTAAAGAAGGAGAAACTTTTTCCTTAGATCTCAAAAATAACGTTACAAAGAGTTATAAAGAGATAGAGTATTCTTATTCTAGTAACCAAACACACTTGGCTTACTAGAGAAGCTAGAATAAATAATTAATTTATTTATTTAATTCAATATTCCCCCTCAAGCTTTGCCATGCCTAATGGTAAAGCTTGGAACCATGAAAACATCCCTCGTTAAAACCTTTTGTATAGAAAAACCCAATGAGACAAAACCACACAAAGGAAAAAGAGTAGATGCTTCATGACTTAAGGAGATCATGATCTATCAAGGTCTATGAGTCCTAATCTCGGATGAATGAACTCACAGACTTTACTACTTGCTCCTTTGGTAAAGATATCAGCCAACTGGTCTTCACTTCTAGTGTAGCAAGGTAGGATAATCTTCTGCTCCACAGCTTGTCTCACTTTGTGGCAATCCACTTCAATATGCTCTGTCCTTTCATGAAACACTGAGTTTGAAGCAATATGAATGGCTGCCTGGTTATCACAATGCATGGTAATTGGCGTTGATGTTTCTATGCCCAAGTCTCTTAGCAAGTTTCTGATCCAAATGAGTTCACTAGTCAGTTTCCTCATTGCTCTATACTCTGCCTCAGCACTTGAACATGATACCACCTTTTGCTTCTTGCTTNTGCCCAAGTCTCTTAGCAAGTTTCTGATCCAAATGAGTTCACTAGTCAGTTTCCTCATTGCTCTATACTCTGCCTCAGCACTTGAACATGATACCACCTTTTGCTTCTTGCTTTTCCATGTAACTAGATTGCCTCCAATGAAGGTGCAATAACCTGTAGTAGACCTCCTATCCACTCTATCACCAGCCCAATCTGCATCGCAATATCCCACAATCTCTATGCTCTTGTTGCATCCCATCCAAACACCTTGTCCCGGGGCCTCCCTTAGGTATCTCATAATCCTTTCCACCATATTCCAATGATGAACTTTAGGTGCTTGCATATGTTGGCTGACTTGGTTCACAGCAAAACAGATATCTGGTCTTGTAATGGTAAGGTAAAGCAGCTTCCCAACCATCCTTCTATAGAGTTTAAAGTCAAATGGTTTGTCTTCAAACTCCCCCTCACGCAAGACTTTGTAACCTTCTTCTAGTGGTGTTTTAGCTACTCTTGCTCCAAGTTTTCCTGCCTCATTTAAAAGATCAAGTGTGTACTTTCTTTGAGATAAGAAAAGCCCCTCTTTAGAGCGGCATATTTCTATCCCTAGCAAGTACTTTAGCTCACCCAAATCTTTAATATCAAAGGTAGACTTAAGAAAAGCTTTAGTAGAGATGATACCTTCCTTGTCACTTCCTGTGATGATAATATCATCCACATAGATCAGTATCACGATAATTCCTTGCTTGCTTGTGAGGGTGAAAAGAGTATGATCAGCTTCTGATTTTACAAATCCTCTTCCATTGAGAGTTGTGCTCAGTTTGTGATACCAGGCTCTTGGTGACTGTTTTAATCTATAGATTGCTTTCTTCAATCTTAGTACATTTCCTGGCTTGACCATATCTTCCATACCCGGAGGTGGCTTCATGTAAACCTCATCTTCAAGCTCTCCTTGAAGAAAAGCATTCTTGACATCCATCTGCCATAAATCCCATTCCAAGTTCACACCAAGAGAGAGAAGAATCCTTATAGTATGCAACTTAGCTACTGGTGCAAAGGTATCTAGGTAGTCTTCTCCGTAGACCTGAGTGTACCCTCTTGCAACCAGTCTTGTCTTCTTCCTTTCTGGTTTTCCATTAGCAAGATATTTGATGGTGAAGAGAAGCATGCTGGTCACAGCTTTCTTGCCTTTAGGTAGTTCGGTTTCATACCAAGTACCATTTCGGATCATGGCACCAACCTCATCTCCAACTGACTCTCTC